CAAACGCACGAACCACCGATTCCTTCGCGAATTCCCGAGAAACAATGTCGAGGAAAAGAGAGAAAGAAAAGCTTTCCGGGGATAAGGAATCGAGGAAAAGGCGGTGGTCGTCCCCCGTTCGACTGCACGACACCGATCCTTGATAAAAGGAGACGCCCCAACGCGGGCCACCCAGTTCGACGTATGGCGAGCGACGGCTCACCCCGCGGATCCGTCTGTGCTCGGGCCAACTCGCGCAGTGCCGTATCTAGGACCACCGCCTGCTTCGACGCCAACCAATCTTCCCCCTCCCTTCCCCACCACGCTCATTCTCTAACCCTTCCGCGAGCTCTAAGGCACGATCTTTTTTATATAATCTTTTTCTTTTTGTTTTCTTTTTTTCTTACCCCCGCTTAACCCTCCCAACGAGGGTTCTATAAAAACCATCCGATGATGAAGATCTTAACTGGAAGATAGGAAAGTGGTCATAGATTTGATGGTGGCATCTTGTACATATTTCTGTGAAGGTATCAACTTTAGTCGTTTTTAGAAAAGTATTTTATATTTAACGGTTATCTTTAAAATAATGTAACACTCTTTCAGGGATCAGGAAGAAGAAGAGAAAAAAGAGGCCGTGAGGGTAAAGAAAGGGAAACGATTTTAGTATCGGGCCCCGGGAATAGTACGGGGCGACCTGGAACCGTCGGGCACTCAGCGGCAAGGCGGGGGACTAAGGAAACCCTTGAAATCAATAGCCGGCCTCTACTGCCACCGCCACCCTGATCAGGCTCCGTTCTGCGCTGCACATCCGTCCCCTCGCATCATCCACCTCCCTCCTTTTACAGCTCCTCTCTCTCTCTCTCTCTCTCTCTCTCTCTCTCTCTCTCTCTCTCTCTCCGATTCTGATTTATCTGCACGACGTAACCGAGGAAGCCAGGAGCCGCACTTCAGTTCGCGCTCGAACGTCCCACTAGTACGGGCACACGTCATTCGTTGACTTTTTTAGCGGTGTTCCATGTGACGGTGAAGGAGTAGAAGGATCATGAATCGTCAGCCAAAAATAAACCAAACTTCTCTCTCCTTCCCTCCCTCATTTCTTCTTCTCCTTATCTTTATTATTTATCTTTCATATTCAGGTAGTCAATGATAATAGATTGGATAATTTAGCAAAGGAATGATTCGAAGGATTTAAAAAATTGAAATAGAAATTGATATATCATGATATACCATCGATGATTTCGTTCGTAATGAAACGAAGAAAAAGATAAAATAATGGAAACTGATACGAATTGGAACACCTTTCGCCTACTCTCCATTAGTTAACGATCTTAAAGAAAGTAGCTCTTGCATTTTTTTATATTATTTATTAATTCGTTGCGAGGCTGAGTTAAACACGATGCAGGAAGCACGTTTATGGTAGGTGCATAATGCATGCGAAGAAATGGTTTTGCATATCGACGAGAACATATATTCAGGGACATTGCAGGCGTGGAGGGTTGATGCAACTTTTTTTCCTTTTTTTTTCTCAGGCGACGTAGGCATTCGCAAAGGTAGAAAATCGAAAATAAAGATCAAGAGGAGATTGCGCGTCACTCGAAATAATTTCTCCACTGCAGTGTGTAGATTTCTCCACCCTTTCGATGATGACCACCCGGTGGCACCTTCACTCCTCCTCCATTCACCCACTTCTCTGCCACGTACAAAGTCGTTACGTGTTTATATGTATGTGTGCGTGTGTACGAGGATGGTCTGATTACGGTCTGACCTACTCTACTTCGGGCTAGGGCCATACGATTCTCTCTCTCTCTCTCTCTCTCTCTCTTTTCTTTTTTCTTCTCGTTTTCGAAAACTTATCGCGCTTATCCGACCTTTCTTTACGTAAAGCTTACAAATTAATTATAAAAATTCGGTAATGTTCTACTGATAAAGTTTATTAAAATTAATGTTTATATTGAAATCGATGATAAAATGACACGATACACAACGTCTGTCGGATTCTTTTTTGTTTAATACTTTTCCTAACGGACGTACAATTCTGACGCAAAAGATATTATTAATGAAATATATCAATGAAAAGAGATATTTTTTTTTATAAAGATATTGACGAAACTCGAGCGATACCGTAACGAAACGAATCCTCGGACAAATGAAAAGGCGCGAGTGCCGTTTCGTTTTGATTTCATTCGAGCCTTCTTCAGCAAAATATGTGAATATAATCCATTGGATTGTTCCTTCTCTCTTTGCCTCTCTCTCTCTCTCTCTCTCATTTTTATATAAGTAAATTATTTAATGTATATTTTCAACTCGTTACAGAGATCGTCGACGGAGATCTCATTAAAGAGATCTCAACCGTTTTATATTATTACTATTACTTATTTATTATTATAGAATCTTAAACGGCTTTATATTAATACGCGAATGCACAGAACAGACGTGCATTATAGACACGAGTAAGTACCATATGTACAGAAAAACGTGGCACGGATTATTTTTGCCGACTTTTTTTTTTCTTTCTTTCTCTCTTCTCGTTAAGTAACACCGGAAAGCCGATATATAATAATGTGTGTGTGTGTGTGTATATGTGTATGTCAAGTCTCTCTCCTCCACTTCTCCTTAAAGATACAACTATATATTAACCTACGATCCTTCTTGTGTCGTAAATAATTGTTAAAGAATTGTTAAAGATCTGATAAATCGTCTGGCGTTTTTCGCAAAATCTATTTCTTCAGGTTGACTGTATTAGATCTCAACGTACTTGTAATAAATAATAGTATAAATAATAAAAACGAACACAGTTGCATTGTGTCGTATTATATACGTATGTACATACGTACATTACAGAAATATAATTATGATTCATTATAAATGAAAGACAATTTATAAAATATTGTGGGAGGAGAAAAAACTGAAATCAACTGAAAATTTAGTAAAATTACAAATAGGTAGTTCGCCATTGTTGTTTTCTATATCTCTTAACATAAATATATAAACATTTAAATTTTGTGTATACCAAGTGCGAAGACATACTTTATTTATTATAATTTTTAGCATGCCAATGTATTGAAAGTGTATTTCTTTCAGCATATATATATGTACTTTTTTTCCCCTTTCTCTTCTTATTTCTTCGTTTATTGAAAAAAAAGAAAAAAAGAAAAAAAAAAAAAAAAAGAAACCGAGCGATACCGTGTCCATGTAAGCCATGCTCCACTTTAGATTCAAGAAGAATTTAATGACAGAGAGGTACAAAGTACAAATATTGTGTAGTGTGACATCCGAGATATCTTTATTTTTAATTTTTATAAGACAAACATAAAGAAATAAAAATTACACTGAAGCGTCATAAATTCAATGCATTAACTTCTTAAATTATATGCCACTGCTGGTTGATGCAGTCACCACTACCGTATGGACAATGACGAACCACTACTATTCAGTCAGCCCCCCTTCCCTCTCTGCTGTATCTTCCAAATAAATATCTTTGAGCAAATCGAACTACATAGAAAATGTAGAATGAACAAGTTAACACATTGGATGTTGAAATCAAAATGAAATACAATTGAATGAATAAGGCGTTATTACCTATCACAGTGTTAACGTGCCCGAGTTATTCTTTATAGAACACACATAGTGTTTACAATGATGCTTGATCTCATTAAATGGTATTATTATATATTCTTCAATTACTTTAATAAAAAAAAAAAAAAAAAAAAAAAAAAAAAAGAAAAGTCATTATAAATATGTTAGAATATTCGCGATTAATTGGAGTGAGATCTAAAAGCGCGGATCTAAAAGTAGAGTTCAAATTCAATAAATGGTAGATTTTTGGACTATTTGGAAAAACTTGTCAAAAAATTTGTTGAAATTTCTTCAAATGAAAATACTTTGTATAGGTAATCGGTTCGGCTTAGTGGTGGCATGGTAGCAAAGACACAGGACGCAGGCAAGTGTTTTAAAGCGAAAATCCTTTTGTAAGAAGTGTATGTGTGGGAAATGTGTTATTAACGAATACATAAATTCCTAAACGTTTATCCAAGACATGCTACTCGATATTTATTTAAGTTTTCTACTTAAATCAGTAACATTTCTTAGATGCTTAACAATTAACTAATGTGACTTCAATACCAAACCGTTGGGTTGTCGCTTGGAAAATAATCGCTTGGTTGGAACATAACAAACCGTTTCTTAAAAAAGGATTTAAAGTTTCAAATGCTGCTTTACCGGACAAAGCACATTCCCATAGGAAATAGCCCTATTAATGCAGACCACTATGTTAATACAATTTATAATGAACAACCAAGTAATGGTACGACTGAAATTATTGGTCTTTGCAGTCTGAAGATGGCAGGGGGACAGACTAAGAACGTAGGGGAAGAAGGGATGTGCCGATGTATATTTAAAGAATAAGGACTGCTCAGATTAGTTTTCCCAACAAATAGCCTACTATGACCATTGCAACGGCAATGAGAAAACTAGTTGACGTCGGAGAAAACTGATTACTGTTCTGTGCGGGCAAACCTCTAGCTTCCTCCAATGCTGCGTTTCGGTATTTCATTAAGTCTCTCTGTTGATAAAGAAGAAAAAATAAGTGTCAATGCTAATCAATAAAAATAAATACGTATTATTGATTATGTTAGAGAGAGAAAAAAAAAGAAAAAAGGAAATGTACAAACGATTTATCGAATTATCATTAAAATATGAAAGAAAATTATTTCCTATCATTTACCCTAAGTTGAAGGTTCTCCTGCCTAAGAGCACTTTCCTCTACTCTAAGCTGAGTGACTTCTTGTGCAGCTTTTAACAATTTCTCTTCTGTTTCTTCCAATACCTAAAGAGTAAAGTTTATAGTATAAATAATGTTTTCCTCTTGAAGGTTGCAACATTCAAAAAAATCATTGGAATTTACCTTTGGAGAAGATTTCACAGAATCACCAGTACCTTTATTTTTCTCATTATTCGTATTAGTATCCGACCTGGTTGTCGTAGTAGTTGTAGTTGTTTTAGTTGCAGCAGTAGTTGTTACCGGATTCTCGAAAACGCACTTTAACTTAGAATCCATTAATTGCTCTGGCTTCGTATCTTTCCACTGCAAAATTGATGTGCATGGTAATAAAGATGCATCATAATTAAAGATACATTTTTGATGATACATACGACATCGTTATTTAAATAATCATCTGAATCATTATCGGGAGCTATTAAACTCTGAACCATAAATTTGTGTTTATTTTTGTCCGCTGGATCAAAATCACAAGGTTGTAAGCACACTAAAATCCAAAATGTTCTATTTTATAACGCACCCTTTGACAAAGGGTTTTTATCAGCCGACATTTAAATAGATTTAAAAATTAACCTGCTATTTCGGCGACCTCCATTGGCTTTAAAGCTCCAGAATTAGGACGTACGCAATATTTCTTTGGTACGGTCGTCTTTATTTTAAAATATACTTTGTCAGAGGTAGGATTTATTAGTTTTATGTAAGATGTGACTGGAGCTCCAGTAAACGGACCTAAAAAGAATTTTTGCTGTAGTTACTTCTTTCAAGGAATATCGATACATAATACAAATAGATACATTATAAAATAATATATCATTAGTAAATGTATATATATATATATATATATATATAATGTGTAAATTAAAACTATATTACCATTTTACATTTTCATCGTGTAGAACATAAAACAATTCTACTGAAGTAATACTAATTAGAGATCATTATGTTGATAAAAATATTAGATATGGTATGGTTACATGTTGTAACTGTCAATGCAACACTGACAAAAACAATGATATAAGCAGAATGTTTTCACTGGAATAAGCTAGTTCGAAGCGCTCAAGTTTTTTTGTATGACCAATGGTTTGATTAAAGATTACAGATATGTGTTAGTGGATATTACATGAAACGTGGGAAAAGGATATGCAAAATTCATTAATGGCAGTGCCACAAAAATGCATCTAACTCTGCATGTATAATTATGCGCGTATTTTTAAATACGAAAAGGCAAATCTGTAACCAAAAATATACGCAAGACCGAAGGTAAACGGTGAAGAAAGAAATGGGGGTGGGGAGTGACACACATATATATATATATATATACAAACGAGGATAGTAGAGTCCATATACGTGCTGGATAAGAAGAAGATGGGAGAAAGAAAGAAGCGAGAGAGAATAAGAGAGGGGAGTAAAAAGTTAAGAGAAGCGAACAATAAAATGATCGTCTTGGCTTTGACAGCGATTAACGCGAATAGGGTTAAGTGCGACTTGGCACTTTTTATCGGATTTTCTCCAACTGAAATTTCTAAACTTGGCAAGGATCGTTAAACAGTAAGAAAACATTCGGGAAGAAACGTTCTTTCTCGTTCTCTCGCTCTCTCTCTCTCTCTCTAGCTCTATCTCCATGTCCTTACGTCATCTTGACAACGCAATGTGCTGCACCGTGTGCACTCGGATTCGTTCGAATGAATCGGCCACTTTTTGTTGTGTGATCGCGTGAGATATACAAGCAAAGTTGTACGACTAAATATCTCAAAGAGATATAAACTTATAACCAGACAAAAAGGAGGAGGGATGGATAGAGGAGGAAAAAAAAGGAAGAAAAAAAGAAAGGCGTTGTCGATAAATAGGATAAATTACGAAGATCGTTGATCTTTCGTACCCCTGAATCGTAGCTCGTTTTCCGGCTCGATAATTAAAACTTGCGCAGGCTTCGCCATCCTATATTTTTCAATGTCGCTCGACAATCCAATGGACGTTGAATCGCGTCACCTCGGTGTAAAGAGCTTTCGTTTCTTCTATTTTATTAACAGTGACTTAATGGATTTTTACTTTCCGTGTATTCGCAGTGATATTGTTAAAACGGCACCACTGCGTTCCTCGTACTCGCTTTCCGAGATTCCGTTCAACTAATTCCAATTTTTCTCTCTTCTCGCGAGCGAATACGCATGCGTCACGACGGAAATTATCAGGCGTACTTGGACGCGTTACGTCACGACGATGTTACCGCGGTAATCATATTCTCTACTTTTACAGACCACATGTAAATTTTAACGGTGAGAAAATAAGGTCTAGAGGAGTGGGGGGGGGGGGGAGGGAAGAAAAGCAAGACGAAAGCAAAACAAGAGCCACGACAATTCGACAAAAAGTCGTCTAGCGTTGTACGAGAATATGTAACTTTCAATTTCGAGACAATTTCGAATCATCTTACAACGGGGTGTCTTTTTTTTTTTTTTTCTAAGCCGTTTATCGCGTTTCGCAATTGTTATAAACTCTCTAATTTTTTCTCTCCAATTGCTCTTTTTCTAAATACTTCGTATCTAATATACATATGCATGCTTATACACCTTTCGTTTTTGTTTTCTCAATAATATCGATATCGTCCTATCACATGTCTCGGTATACATTCTCATTTTACTGTACAATTAAATTTCGCGCGTTTATCAATCCATTTGTATATATATATATATATATATATACGTATATACATATATATATATATATTAAATATTTATTTTGTTCCGACTTTTTTTCTTTTCGTTTAAAGAAGAAATTTGACTTATTTTAACATGAGAATTGGCATTATAAATGCAACGAAAAAGATATCGTCATTTGCCCGTGTGAAAAATGTATTCGGCCAATGATATTGTCGCTCCGATAGCGTCGCTATTCATTAATTCGCTAATTTCCCACAAAGATTACCAATGGCGTATGAATCGTAAGTTACATTTAGAGATCCAAAAAGTCTATATAGTTTCTGCCAACTTGATATTACGTGAATGTAGGTTTAAACAGAGTTTACGATTTTTCTCCGGGTAATTTGAACAAACGCGTGGTTTGAACATTGCCATCGGAATCATTTTAATTTATATAATAATAATAATAATAATAATAATTAATTATTATAATAAGTGATTTAAGATTATGGATACTACAAGCGCTCCGAATCTAAATGCCGAAATCTATAGAAATTTAACACCGGCTGATCGTCCACCGTTTTCCGACAAACATTTACAATTTATATTAGTATACAATGGTAATATTCAATGTAATATACATTTTTATATGAATTTAAGCATAATCTATTACATATCGAACGTAGAATATATGTTTACACGGGCGAATATTGATTGATTTACAGAAAATAGCGCTATTCTTGGTGCTAGCAATATGACAGATCGTTTCTGGGCTGGTACTATGTGGTATTATAATGATATATCAGACTTTAATAGATGCAAGGCTTTTTTAACGACTAGAACTATAAGTGGTATATCTACCGGAGCATATCTAGAGAAAGACAAATTCGTAATCGGCGAAGATAGCGGTCTGTTACAAATTTTGGGCCTAGTAGAAATACCAGATCTGGATCAACAGGAATTACAATCTTTAGGATATGCTTGTCAACATGACGATACCCTTACAACGGTGTCAGTATTTTCTGACAATGCACATTTAGTGACCGGTGGAATGGATTGTTGGTAAGTTCCCGTTATCTCGTTTGAGATAGAACTCATCGCTAGAGAAAAATATAGAAATAATAATTTTCATTTGTTGTAGTATAAAGGTATGGGATATATCTAATCTAATGTCTATAGATTCATTCCATTCTAGTCATATAGATGTTGTAACTGGAATTGATGTACAACAAGGAAGTAATTCTGTATTTATATCTTCGTCATTAGATAACTGTGCTTTGATGTGGGATACAAGAAAACGAAAACCTGCGCAATGTACGTTTTCTTTCTTCGAAAGATATAGATTTATGCCAAATCATATATTTGAACATTTTCGTTCGTATATAAATTTTTTTTCTATACTTTATAAGGTATTTTCGAAAAAGATGGCTGTGGTTTGACGTCGGTATCCTGCAATCCTGTCTCTAATAACATTGTAGCGATAGGTGCAAACGATGGAAGCGTCACATTAATAGACATTAGAAACACGGACGATGTGTTATTTGAGTCATTAGTATTTTCCAGATCAATACATAAGCTTTTATTTAATCCAAATCCAGAAAGGTAATACAATGAAATTTAACATGATTTTTACATGATAATAATCAATCCTCAAATAATATCTAAACACTTATTTCCATGCATATATCATTGATAATTATCGTACTTACTGTCGCTAATTTTAAAGGTTGATAATTATAATATCGGACAGTAAATCAATTAGGATATTTTATTTTCATAATTTAAAGAGTTTACAATTATCTATCGCGTTTTCTAGGTCAAGACAGTTAGCTTGTTGCTGCGATGATATTGTAGTTAAAGTTCTTGATACAAATGAAGATTGTACTGTTATTTATAAAGATAATAGACATACAGATTTTGTACGAGGACTCACGTGGTACAACGATCAACTGTTGTCATGTTCCTGGGATGATAAGATTTTAAAACATACAATCTAATTTTGTATGATCCAACATTATAGTTATCATTTTTATATTAAGATTAACTGTGATCATTTTAATAAAATAGAAATATTAATGTTTCTCTATACATTTTAATGCAGTATTCATTTCATTGTTGCTTCATTTACAAATTTGCTTAGAATATTTTTTTTTTCAGAACCAGGGACCAAAACAATTCCATGTTTACAAATAATTTTAAATTTCAAGAATTTTTCAAACGTTCCTCAAATATGTAAAAATATATCGGAATGTAGTCTTGTATATAACTATTGGTAGTAGTATCTCCAAAGATTCGTTTTCTCTATGCTGGTCATAATTTGGAATAAAATTTCACATCCCCAATTGATATAAATGAAAATTCGTTACGTCGAAATTGAAATATTTATTCGTTGTGAAGTAAACAAAAAAAGAAAAAAAAAAAAAAAATAGAAAAAAAAGGTAATTTATAAATAAATGGAAACTATGTCTTCTCATCCATTGGATTGTGTTGTATTAAGATTGCTTAAGTGCCAACATAATAAGGCAATAGTTAAATACCATAATTCCGTAATTATAAGACATAAATAATACAATGAGAAGCATGTATTGTATAATTAAATCATATACAACATGATTTCATTTGTAACATTCCCATCTTAGTTGTCGAAAAGAATTAATTGAGCATTTAACCCTTATACATTTTTTTTTTTTAACATTATAAACATTCGCCATTTTTTCATACGCATTAAGCTTTTAATAATTAAAAAATTAAATATATATATATATATGTACATATATATATATATATATAGAAAATTTGGTATAAATTTCGTATTTTATAAATTCTTTGCAATTTTTATGGTTATATTTATTGAATATTTGTTAAGATAATGTTTGCACATTTTTAATCTATGATTAGCCATGATCGATTCGACTTATTTTCAACTTGGAAAAAAATATGTAAGATAAGCTGAGTATGCTGGATGTTGAGATCATATTGAATAAGACATGGTCTACTATTATGCTTAAAAAGAAACGCAACATCGTGTTTTTTCATGACATAGATCAGTGATATGAAAGAAAGAGAACGCATGATTTCTTCGATGTGCAACAAAGGAATGAGGGAGGGGGACAAAAGAAAAAAGAAAATCACGTGACTGTGTCAAGAGGAAAGACTTGAAAAACATTTAGAATTACATACTCCTAATATTTGTTTAAAATAAGTCATTTCTCAAATAAGTTCTTATTTGATTCTCTACAGTCTCGTTAACATAACACATCTGGGAATACGTATTTATCTGATACAACACTTTAAACGTTCAAATGCAATCTGTTAATTGGATAAACAGATATGTTACTTAATATTCGATGAATTCTACTTTTGCAGCCAACTGTTAAGTGTAACATACATCTAAAGATCAACGTCATTGTTTGTTCATATAAAGGTATGTTAACGAATATAAATTGCACACAGGTTGGCGAACTATTAAATAATATTTTATCAAAATTCATTCATGATCAGATTGAAAAAACATTTACATTGTGGCACCAAAGAGCAATGAATGTATGTGTCGATGAGAATACATATATTATGTCAGTAGAGGCAGTCTGATCCATTTATTTTCTGCATCTGTGCTTTGTCCTTTGTAACATGCTAATAATTATGGACATTAATTAAATTGTTATGTACATTTCGGGCTTTAACATACTGAAATATAATTGCATTGTCACAAATGCAATATGTAACTCTCATATCGACATTCATTCCTTTCCATCAATCTAGTCAATATATATATATATATATATACACATATATATATATACATATACATATACATATATATATATATATATATACACACACACATATATATCTCATTATGCATTTATTATTATGCTTTTCAAAAATGTCTTTTTTATATCACTTTTGTTTGATCAGAAATGTTTTTCAACGTTTTCAGTAACTCGATTACGCTCCAAATTCTTTGTCCTCGTCTGCCCTTATATCGCCATATACCCAAATATTGCGACGATTATGCTTGGCATCTTCCTCCGCTTTTGTATACTCCTCGATCTATGAAAAGTTGAGCACAAAAAAAAAAAAAAAAAAAAAAAAAAAAAAAAAAAAAAGAGAAGAAGAAAAAAATTATTCCTTAGTTTGTACAAAACGTCATACCTCATTAACATTAGGTCAACTCACTAATTTTCCAAGTCTCTTATCTTTATGTTTTTGAACCAATAACAGTCCATCCGCAATGAGTCCTTTGGCAATGTCTTCATTCGTAGATGCATCGGCAAGAGTTACAGAATGAAGATTATTGCTTACTTTGTATTCAACATTTAATAGTAATATTTTATCCATAACGTCTTCTTTAAATGCTTCCACAGCTGATTTCTTATCGTCATTCTAATATAAATTCATTCGAATTAATATTATTATTGTCATCGAAATAATCGAAATTGTGGGTTATAATTATTATTATTTAAATGAGAAAAAAATGACTTACGTCGTTTGGCAAAGCAACGCATGCAAGTGTGTATTCATGTGCATAAGGCTTATCAGTCGCAAAACGAGCAGGTAAATCAGCGACTCGTGTTACGTTAATAGTTTCTCTGTTACCATAGTCAATATAAAATACGCTAACATTTGGTCCTGATACTTTTTCCGTTTTGACACGATACCATTGATCATCGCCTGTAAATTTGGCAACTGCCAAGTCACCCCTTGTAGGTTTGTAAGCACCAGGAAGTGGAGGATTGGCAGCCAATTCTTGTCGTAATTGTAAAAGTAGGTTTTCCAACAAACTCCCCTGCTCGACATTTTGAGCATAAAAATGAAGATCTTCCGTAACTTCTGTAATAACTACTTCTTGATAGTCAATTTTTCTTTCTGCAACTTCTTTCTCATCTTCATTCTTTTCATTTTCAACTTGCACTTCGACGCGATTCTTCCAAATCTAGAAAGAATCAATGATTCATTAAAAATATCTAGATAATATATGAAATATTAAGAAAAAAGAAAGAAAGAAAGAAAGAAAGAAAGACAGAAAGACAGAAAGAAAGAAAGAAAGAAAGAAAGAAAGAAAGAAAGAAAGAAAGAAAAAAAAAATAAAAATAAAGGAAGAAATACCAACATTAAGCTTTTTCGATTTAGCTCTCTCTTCTGCAGCTTTAAGGATTTTAGTAAATTCACCTAGATCAGGAAAGGTCACAACTTCTGCTAAACCTTCTTCTACCAAAGCGACGGACATATTAATATCATTGACGGTTAAACATCCTATAAATCCGCTTCCTTTAGTTTCCGTAGTTTCAATTTTAATCTCTACATCCCTTTGGAAACAATGTTCCTTGGTGAAAGCTAAAGCTTTCTCACCATACTCATCTGCTTTAATAATACCTCCTCCTGGTAAGGACCTCTGACATCTAGGTGCTCTAATACCGGCTAATACAAATGTTATAAGTTGATCCTCTTTTGGCAAAAATAACTTTAAACGCGAACCGCTTGTAACAAATTCAACCACAGCTTTAATTCCTTGTGCCCTTTTCAATGACGTTAAAAACGCTTTAGCCTTAGGAGGATCGTTTGAAAGATCCACTAATCTATGAACAGGAATATCTTTCTTTGCATGCAATCCATGTTGCGATTTTTCTGCTTTACTTTCGGCAACTTGAAGCAAATTGTAATGAGAAGAACGTTGATCGTCGCTCTGTTTGTGTTTAATTACTTTAGCGAGACCCCTTGAAACTAATGCTTCCGCAATATTTCTGAGAAAAGAAATGCGTATATGTCAATTATTCGTATATGACATTTATATAATAAATTGTTTGAAGAAACTTACGTTTTACCACACATGACTGTACAACATAATTTTTCTGGAAAATTATCTCTTGCTGGTTGTGTATAATCGACCACAACTTTAACATTTTTTCTGATAAATTTTTCTCGAAGAAATTCACGCGCCTCTAACATCCACGGTATATCATAAAGAGGTCGAAAATCTTTCGACCTGACAGCATTATTAATGTCTTCGCCAGGTTTCTTTTCTCTGGACGGTGGTCGAATGCTACTTAAAAAGACTTTTTTGTTTTCCCCATTTTGTGTCCTGATAATAAACGCATCTGCATTTACAATTTCAACAATAGTACCAGTAAATTCGATTTGCGGCCCAGACGGCTTATAATCCTTCCATAGACGTAATCGTGCCTCTTTGGCAGCTTTTTCTGCAAGATAGAGCTTTTCTGCGCCAGATTTACTGTTACTAATTGACCAATCTTGACATTTGGCAAAACCTTCGCTCAGTAGGATTTCCGCGATGTTTCCTGTTGAATAATTTCCATGGTATATGCCATTTTATATAGCGGTCCACTTAACCATATTAAATAATACTAACCTTTTGGGTGAATAACACTCCCAACAAAATTGTTATTATTTACAGATTCGAGTATTATCTCGACGTCTCTGTGAAGGAGGCGTGACTCTACGAAATACCTTGCCTCTTCCGCATATGGATCACCTGAGTTAGCATCGCGTCGTCCACTTGGCCAGCCAGGACAACGAATGCCAGATATCATCAATACAATATTGTAAAATTCAGGTAATAAAAATGCTTTTACAGTTGATCCATTAAAGACAAATTCAATAACGGCCTTAACAGGCTTTTTGCTATATTTTTCTACTAATTTTCTAGGATCATCGACGTTCCATTTAACATCACGTACATGTGCAGAAGCTGGCGTATCAGACCATTTGCCTTTATTAGCTGCTCTCGCAGCACTCTCTAATTCGATCAATCGTGTTTGTTCGGCTGTAGGATTGCGAGTATCTTTTTTAACGATAACCAAGCCTTCGGAAACTAAAGACTCGATAACATTTTCCCCATTTTTATCTGCCCAAAAGAGATTGTCGATATAAGAAATTGTGTGTGTGTGTGTGTGTGTGTGTGTTTATATATATATATATATATACACACACATACACGCGCGCGCGCGCGCGTCACATACCTTTTCCAAGCCAAACAGTACCGTATGTTTTATTAGTATTAACTGCTTTTTCGGTAGTAAAAGTTACATCCTGACCAATGAGCTTCTTACGTAAAAATTCTCTAGCTTCCCAGGCATATGGTTCGTCTTTACTTTCTTCAGCGCTGTAATGTCGTCAGTTGTAAAACAGGACGTTTTTTAATCTGAAAATGTAATAATTATACTTACCTATCATTTGCTTTCCAGCGTTCTAATTTTGGAGCGGTTATGTTACACAAAGTAATAGTAACTTCTGGCGGGGGCCCTCCCATCGGCTGTCCACGAATAACGATAGTATCCCCAGACATTACCTATACAAAAAATATTTTATATATAAAATAATAGTCATCGATATACTGCGTTAAATGTAAAAAAAATACCATATGAGTTAAGATATTATCTTCTTTGCATAAGAGAAAGATACTTTTCATACAAGATTTAATAGAAAAAGTTCCATTCGTTGAGATCATTTGTGAGAGAGACTTAAAAGTTATGAAATATTGCCATGTCACGTTTTACGATCGAAAATAATGAAATATTGACATATAGGTTTGAAAAATAATAAAGTGAAAAGTGAAAGCGTTTAATGAAATAAATTATACAACGACCATATGTTGTGCACGTTTTTCCTTTTTGTTAAGGAAAAAGTACTCTTTAAGAAAATGAAGGAATATGAAAGGGCAAAGGCACGCGTTTTATACATCACCACAAATAGGAATGAATCGATGGAAATGAATCTCTCCTGCTTTATAGATCTTTTCGATAGGATAAAAGGATCATAAGGTATCTAACGCTTACCTGCTTAACCACACCATTTCTTGGTTTAACTTGCCCCTGAGCTGGTGTGCTCATCGTGCCGTGCATATGCAGAACGCAAGATTCTCAAGAAATGAAAAGAAAATGTCTAATCGAACGTACGGCCGTTCCGATATTGTCGCGAATAAAAATGCACTAAGATCGTAATAAATACGATTTCTAGCGTCAAATAATTAAGAGAAATTCAACAATAATTTGACATGTTGTGTAGAAGGAGAGAAAAACTCACGCTGCTTTCCACGTATCGTGGATTAGTCGGTAGTAGCGCGACCTAGACAGAAAACATCGCACGACACTCGTTTGATTTGGTGGTGATGTGGCAACACGCGACACACTTCGATAAACAGAGGTGTCGCACTCTAGCGGATCGACTCTTTATTTATATATTATTTGAAATCTAACGAAACGAAATTTCTTTATTTATCAATAAAGGATCTAGATTCATTCGTATAAAAATTCTTTGAATTTCATTGAGAAACATTTATTCTCATATCTCTTATTTTATTTTCTTTCTTAAATATTCCCAAATTATCAATATAGAAGACCAGTGTTGTTCCAAGAAAAAAAAAATACATTTCACTGCCCTCTATAGTTATTAGAACGTATCCTAATTAACGTATTAGGAATTATTATAAACATATTAAATGGGACAAATATAATACGCCTTTCAAAGTAATAAGGAATTTCACATTAGTAAGGAAGAAGAGAATTTAAAGAAAGGAAATGTAAGTGTTATTTATTTTCAATGTAATTTGTAACAGCAATTTTTTAAATTTAAAGACACTTTATTTCAGATGAAATTTTTATCCTTACAACGCAGCTTTAAATATTTAATCTATATAGTCTTATCACGGAATGACGAAAGTGAAAAATGATAAAAGAATAATGAAAGAGCAGAAAAATAAAAAGAACAGATCAGAAAATTGCCTCGCTTATATATAACAAATATTCTTTTTCTCTTCGTTTAAACGAACCTTTTTAGGCAGAATCAAGTGGCAGGCTCAAATACGAATTGTTTCTAGAAACAATTTTTAATGTACACACTCGGCTCATATCTTCCAAGCGAGTAATATATCTAATTGGCTCAACACACACACACACGCGCACACACACACACACTTAAAAAAAAAAAAAAAAAAAAAAAAAAAAAAAAGAAAAAAAAAGGAAAAAAAAAACAAAGATAAGCATGACACCTCACTCTCTTTTGACTCGACGAGGCAAAAAAAAAAAAGAAAAAAAAAAAAAAAATAGAAAAAGAATAAAAGAAAATGAAAGAATTATCGATACAATTATTAGTCAGCAACAGTCTTCTTTCTACATCCTAAAGAGTCTTTGGATATTATGTCGTTAATACATCAGATATAGAATATTAATCTACTTCCTCCATCCTCGAAGCTTCTTCGGCATCTCCTTCAAGAGCAGGAACTTCTGTGTCCATCTTTTCTTCTTCTACGTTCGGTGTGTCATTGTCATCAAACCCAAGACCCAATTTGATCATTCTATATATCCTCGATGCATGGACTTGTGGATCTTCAAGAGCAAAGCCTGAAGAAAGAAGGGCAGTTTCAAATAGAAGCATTACCAAGTCTTTGACCGATTTGTCATATTTATCAGCCTCTGCTTTTTGTCTCAGATTTTCCATTATAGGATGATCAGGATTGATTTCTAAATGTTTCTTCGCAGCCATGTATCCCATGGTAGATGTGTCACGAAGTGCTTGCGCTTTCATTATTCTTTCCATGTTCGCGGTCCAGCCGTATTGAGAAGTAACAATGCAGCATGGCGAATCAACGAGCCTGTTTGAGACAACTACTTTTTCTACTTTCTTGTCGAGGATATCCTTCATGACTTTGCAAAGATTTTCAAATTTAGCTTTGTCCTCTTCTCTCTTCTTCTTTTCTTCTTCATCCTCTGGAAGTTCTAAGCCTTCCTTAGTGACAGAGACCAATTGTTTCCCATCAAATTCTTTCAATTGTTGTACAACGTATTCATCAATGGGCTCAGTCATGTAGACTACTTCAAAGCCACGTTTCTTGACGCGTTCAACGAAAGAACTATTGGCTACTTGTTCCTTACTCTCTCCTGTAATATAATAAATATGTTTTTGACTTTCCTTCATACGACCAACATAATCTTTTAGCGAGCACATCTCGTCGCCCGAAGCAGACGTGTTGTATCGCAGTAATTCCGAAAGTTTCTTCCTATTTTGACTGTCCTCGTGAATACCCAATTTCAAATTTTTACTAAATTGTTCATAACATTTCTTATAATTTTCCTTATCCTCGGATAATTCTTCAAAAAGCTCCAAACATTTCTTTACGAGATTCTTCCTGATAACTTTAAGTATCTTGTTCTGTTGTAACATTTCACGTGAGATATTCAACGGTAGATCCTCACTGTCCACGACGCCTTTGATGAAGTTGAGGTATTCTGGAATTAGATCTTCGCAATTGTCCATAATGAAGACTCTCCTCACGTACAATTTAATATTGTTCTTTCGTTTTTTGTTTTCAAAAAGATCAAACGGTGCTCTTCGCGGTATGAATAGCAGGGCTCTGAATTCAAGTTGACCTTCGACCGAGAAATGTTTTACAGCCAAATGATCTTCCCAATCATTTGTCAAGCTCTTATAAAATTCACCATATTCCTCTTGGGTTATATCATCTGGGTTTCTTGTCCATATTGGTTTGGTCTTATTAAGTTCTTCATCCTCTGTATATTTTTCCTTAATCGTCTTTTTCTTCTTTTTCTTTTCACCTTTAGTCTTGTCCTCTTCTTCATCCTCTCCAACATCTTCAATTTTTGGTTTGTCATCCTCATTTTCAGTTTCTTTTGACGACGGTTCATCTTCTTCGTCGTCGCTCAATTCTTTATCCCTTTCTTTTTCAACGACCAATTTTATTGGATAACCAATGAATTGCGAGTGTTTCTTAACGATCTCTCTAATCTTTACCTCTTCCAAATATTCGGTCTGATCCTCTTTGATATGCAAGATCACTTTACTGCCACGTCCAATGGGTTCTCCATTGTCAGGGCGAACTATGAAGGAACCACCGGCAGAAGATTCCCATAAATATTGTTCGTCGTCATTGTGTTTTGAAATTACAGTTACTTTATCTGCAACTAGGTATGCAGAATAAAAGCCAACACCAAATTGACCAATCATAGAAATGTCAGCTCCGGCCTGCAGAGCTTCCATGAAGGCCTTAGTACCAGACTTTGCTATGGTACCCAAGTTATTGACAAGATCAGCTTTGGTCATACCACAGCCACTGTAAAATGAAAAAGGGAAAAATGCCAGATGAATAATATATCTTGGATATGTAAATTCAAATAATTGTACATATATCATTAGATTTTCTCCGATAGTTGAAAGAATAATACTTACGAGTCGAGAATAGTAAGCGTACGGTCATTCTTGTTAGGAACGATCTTGATGAATAATTCTTTGCACGTGTCGAGTTTTGACGGTTCCGTAAGAGATTCATAGCGAATTTTGTCTAAAGCCTGTGAGAAAGAAAAAACGTAGAGTTTTTACGATCATAAACAACAAATAGTATTTTTTCTTGCGTATATAACAGGAGAGAATAATAAATATGCTTTATTTTTAGAATCTTTTTTTCGTACTCTCGTTCTATGTCATGTAGGCAACGTAGGCAAGAGGTAAAGGAAAGAAAAAAGAAAGGAGGGGGAAAGGTAAGCGAGCGACCGAGCAAGCAAGAAGAAAAGGAAGAAGGGTACTCACGTCGGATGCGTTGGAAATCAATTCTCGAATAAAGATCTCTTTGTTCGAATAAAAAGTGTTGATGATCAAGCTCATCAACTGAGCAATTTCAGCTTGGAAAACGAACGTTTCGACTTCACCGGCATCCACCATTGCAACGTCGGCCGGCATCTTGTTCTCAAATCAAATTTTGTTAAATCACAAAAAATGTCAAAAATATTATTGTTCACTTAATCACTTAATCGCAGCTTTTTTGCTTTTCTCTTTCTTTTTTTTCTTTTTTCCTTTTTCTTTTTCTTTTTTCCTTTTTCTTTTTCTTTTTTTTTTTCTTTTTTTTTTTTGGAGAGCCAAAGAAGATTCTTTTCTACGTCCTTTTTGTATTATTCCGGTTATAGAAGACGAACAGTCTCAAGCGCTGTCCGTTCAGAAAATCCTAAGAAAGGGGGGGATCGCGTCGCTTTTATCGAGTGATGAAGATTCTAGAAGAAGACGCACGGCGGAAGTATCGACGAATTCGCGAACGTTCTTGAACGAATTTGAGTCTATCAAATGAGTTTACCTTAATTATCCTGAGGATGGATCGCCTTGAGAGTTATCGTAAAAATCATCCTATGAATTATCGTTAACGTCAGACTTATTTATTGTTCCTTCTTTTGTTAATGAAAATCAACAAGTTTTAATCATCGTTTAATCGATAAACATAGTGACCGGAAAACGGACCGTACAGACGCGTATCTAGAAGCATCGCGAATAACTCCTTTGGAACGATTATATTCCAAATTGACGAAAGAAATAAGAAAAATTTATTATCAAATTATCGTAAGTCGAGCATTAATGCGTCATTTCAATTTAATTAAATTTATGTTGCGATGACATTCCGATAATATCAACTTTAATGTCAACTTCATTTCCTATCATCCGTTACTTATCAAATAATTTCCTTTTGTTTCGTTAATTTTTCAAATTATTTTCGAAAAAAAAGATTTTTCTATGAAAACCAATTATCGTTTATTTGGTTTCATTGGATTCGATAAAAAATAATTATCGTAGAAATAGGAATAGATACATTTCTTATGCGGTAACGTCGATATAAATAAAATCTCTTAAATGGGAGAGAAATATGAGACACAATAGTATCGCGTTTCTCTTTGAATATTATTATATCGTTTACTTTAAATTTCGTATAGTAATGATTACAATAGAAGACTTTAGACATGTTAAATAATAGGAGAGAGAGAGAGAGAGAGAGAGAGAGAGAGAGAGAGAGAGAGAGAGGATCTTTAATCAGAGCTTTTTATTTTAATTATACGCAAACATTTCGATTTCCGTGACGAAAATGATTTAATGTAAATAAATTTTCAATTTTTCAATATAAAATTTAAGCGCATGACGTCAACAAATAGGGATAATTTAATGCACTCTACTCGTGTACTAGCAAACCATACGAATCCTGATAGCTTACACAATCTTTGCAACTAGCTAAGATAAAAATAATTTTATTGAATCGCGTTTTATTTATACACGATCATTCAATCTCGATATTTTATTTTTTCAATATTTTACAATGTTGGAAAATGTAGTATCATTTGCAAAAGAATATTTTAATAAAGAGAACAAAATATGTAATTACATGTGAAAGAATATGAAATTTGGTAGAATTTTTTAAATAGGTTAGAATGAACATTGTCAAAGAATTGTTACGTATTATTATTTATATACGTATCTATTTAGTGCTTTTAGAAGGATAGAGAAAAAAGAGAAATAATAATTGTACATGAGAAATAAATATATTCGATTAACCTCGAGATATTTTTCGTATAAACATTAAACGTAGCTAGAAAACATTCGATAAGATCAGACCATTAAAACATATGTCGATTAATACAGACCTTTTCACATATTATTATTATATAAAAAATATGTATTTTTGACTTTAGCAAAACGATATTGTCGATTATTTAATCGAAGTAACATTACTTTTAATATACATTGACATTGATTCGAAATAATATGGGTTAGCTAATATAATCTTGAATCGCGTGGTAAATCAGATTTGACAAAAGCTATTTCCCGCCGGTGTTAAAAGCGGGAAATGATATATTTTTCGTTAATACAGTCGATAGCTACCAGATAGCGTTATTATCTCGAAAGATTCTCGAAATTGGTCGATGACATTCGGCTGATATCGGTCATATTCGGTCAAATTCGTCGAGAGTAAGAGAATGGACGAAAGGAAACATGGCGGCAGTATGTCGCTGCTGCGTTGAGCGCCAGTGTGATTTCGTGTTAGATTGGTGTTGACTACGGTCTCACGACAGTGCCGTCCGTACTTACGGGTATCGGCGATTGGATTTGGTGATGATGAACGTGTGCGACGTCATGCGTTAATATGTGTAGTGTATCGTGACGAAAGTAGCCGCCGTTCGCGGCCGAAAACAACAAGAGCGGAATTTTCGAACTCGGTGGATTGCGTTGGAAAAATCATTATATTTCACAGTGCTCGTGTTAAGCTGGTGAGTATTTACAAGTGCATTATCACTATTATCTTTATATTTGTATTCCTAAATATTTTTTTCCTCCCCTTATTTTGCGTCTTACTAAAGAAGAAATGTCGTGTCTTATTGGACGATCGATGATCGTTAGGTTATTTTACGTCGTCGTCGTCGCCGTCGTCGTCGTCGTCGTCGTCGTCGTCGTCGTCGTCGTCGTCGTCGTTTTAATCTATATACATCGTCGATCTCGTGGCCACTAGTTTTCGGGTGTGTTCCCTGTTGTCATAATACGGGGCATTGACTCCCAACGTTATTGCCCTCGTGCCACTTTCCTCCCCTCGTTGTTATTGTCTCAAGGTGAAGTAATAGTGTTTGCGGAGTTCATTGACGTCTTTCGTGTTCTTTTTCCGAACGTAATACTTGGACACTATTGTTGCGTCTGCTGGCATTTCGAAGAGATGCGCGGGGGATTTAAATCACCGAAAAGCAAGTCATTGGCAAACTATTGACCCAAATCCTGGCTCGGTGTGTATACACACATACATGCGCGCGGGCGCGCGCGCGTGCACGCACATAAAAACACACACATTGCGGTAATGATAAAGATAGGGGAAGGTAAAGTCATGAATTTACACTGGAAAGGAATTGATAATCAATAATCAGTAGAAAAGACGAATATCGTGAGAAAGATCATGGATTCGTTTCTTTATGTCTTGCATATGGTAAACTTGAATGGTGCCTTCAAAAAGCGACCGAAAGAACAGTAGTCATTAGTTGAATTCAAAATAAGTAAATTAATTTTCTAAGTAAATCTTGTCAAATCATTGTCTTTTACGATCAATCTATCAAAATTTGTCACTTATCAGAGATAATCGGGTTGTATTTTTCTTAGAAAGAAAAAAAGAAAAATGTCTATTACATTGCGAACGGAATGATCTACATATAACGATGATAGACTTTGTATTCGTCAACATCGTGTTGAAATATTTCGAGAAGGTCGTGTGACGGACACCAAGAGAAAAAGAAATAGATAAAGATGAAGATGAAGAAGAAGAAGAAAAAAGAGAGAAAAAAAAGGAAGAACGTACATCCGTGGTCGAAAGAGTTAGAGAATCAACGGGGAGGATGGCGTTTCGTATACGCCATACACATACGAAAATACCAAGGAGAGAAAGAAGAAGGGACGTACAAACGTGAGAACGTTCTCTCTGAGTTCGGTCGACGATATATAGGTCAGGCGCTCCTTAACGTCGAGGTCATTAACCCAGGACTCTCGGTATCGTCGATAAAATAGACCCCGTTCTTTCTCTCGTCGATAGAGGTCACCATGTGAGACATATTTGGAGTCTCTCTCTCTCTCTCTCTCTCTATCTGACTGTCTCACTTTTTCTCCCTCTCGTTGCTTTCTCCAAAGCTTTAAAAATATCTCTCTTTTATCGGAGCAAGATGGACATTGTTTATTTTTGGAATATGTCTTTCTCGATTCAATAGTGCATATTCATTGCAGCGTGAGTTATGTTAAAATGATGTTGTTATTATTATCGATAACGAATGAATTTGTAAAAGGTACGCTCTCTTTCTCTCTCAATCTCTCCACGCTTTTTAAAAATATTAAAACGCGTTGACCTTGTACTCAAGAAACTATATTCATCGTTATCGCTACTAAGGATTAAATAATATAGCCGATCGAAGTTCTCCGTAAGATTAGATTCGTGACTCTCTACAATATTGCATGGAGCAGTGATCCGTATCTTTTCTCTCTTTTTGTTTTCCTTATTTTTTTTCTTTTAATTTTTTTCATTTTTCAATAACCTTAGATATCGGTAAAACGTTACGTATGATCTTAAAAAGAAGCGACCTTAAAAAGTTATATAAATTGCATTGCGCTTTCTAATTTTGTTATTTTCTTCGACGTGGAGAAAGAAGGCATAATCGTTGCGTTAAAAAGGTGATCGGACATCACATTTTACGTAGATACCGAAAAGAAATAAAGAAAAAAGAAAAAAAAGGAAAAGAAAAAAAAAAAAAAAGAGAAAAAAGTAAGCACGAGTTGCTCTCGTCTGGATAATAAATATACTAATCGTCATTGAATTTCGAGACTTTGAAACGCGATCAAAGGTCGAACGCGGACCTTGCGTGTTCATTCTTTTTCTTTTCTTTAACCTGTTTATTTCGATAAACAGATAAATCTCTCCGTTATTTCCAGGGTTTACAATTGAAAACGAATATTAATAGAATGCTTCGTCAATTTTCTTTTTACCATAATAATTTTTAAAGCCTTTGTTCGTTCACTCGCTCGTTCATTCATTTAGAAATTTGTGACTTACCGTGATTGATACGCTAGTTCCCGTTTTTACCGACTTAAAAATATCACGGACAAAAATTCATTACATGAATAATTAACACGACTTATGCGCTTGCAATTGAAGTTACTCGCAATATCTCGGAAAGATTCCGTTTATCCGAAGAGAAGATTTGACGAGAGATTATTTAAGAAATACGACACATTCAAGTTAAGTTGCGAGACGCAAAGTTAAAACCTCCAAAAGCACGGTCAAGTTCAAAGTTTTTTCTTTTCTCTTTTTTTTTCTCTTATTTTTTTTTTTCTTTTTTTTTTTTTTCTAATTCTCCCTCCGCCTTTCTTTCTTGGATTTGCAAATGCGCACCTGCGACAGGTGGAGCGGGTCGGTCGGGGAGAACTTTTGGTTCTCACTGAGAGGTGAGCTAAAGGGATAGCTCATGGTCCTCGCGTAAGATTAGTCTCCGTTTGAGCTCTTTTAACTTTGCATAAAGGGATGCGATTTGTATGCGATCGTAGAGAAAAGATTTTGATCTGCCGATTTTATAAGGGAATCCATTCTTATCTTATCGAGAGTGCCAGAGAAAAGTGTTCATTTATCGAGGAAGAGTTAACTACGCAGTTGACGAGCGATATTACGTTCGAGTGGTTCTTCAGCGTTT